CGACAATGTAACCCTCTAACCTCGGGTAAGCCGCGAGTATTTGGCTTAACTTCTACTAGACATAGAATTAAGTCAATTTTGTTACAAACAATGTACAATGAACTACCGGCTCCGTAAAGCAAACGCGATTGAGCCTTCATAATAAAGGAACTAGGTACAAAAATCTATGCCACGGGGGGCTCAGTCGGTAAAGGCGCAGCTACAAAGCAAGACCATGCTGGAGATGGCTGGGTTCGATTCCCGGTCCGGTCTAGGAATTTTTCGGATTGGAATATTTCTCGCCTTCCCTCGGCATAGAGTATGATTGTACTTGCCACACAATTATACTAATGCAAAAAGGGTACAGGCATCGAAATCTCTCAACTAATAACTGTGGAAGTGCATCTAGAACACTTAGTTTAAAGCACGCAATATGCTAATATGCGATAAGCGCTATGCTTGAAATGCGGAAAAGACGAAGAAGGAGAAGTTGTTACTAGAGACCGAGTCCACCTCTGCATATCCACGGTTCTCACGGTAAGGACCATATCCACGGTTGTCACGGGAAGGATGAATCAGATCTGGATTCACATTGGAAAGTGATGCGATTTGATGATGCCTGGGTAAGCAAATGACGCGACCCTATCAACTCAGTAATGTAAAGGGGCTTGGGTTCTAACCCACGATCTTCTGATCAGTAAGCAAAAACGGTCGCCCTAAGGCCACCGTACCCTTTACATCACAACAAGCTACGACCGACGATCGTTCATTATCGGGTACAAGAAGCTATTAAAATGAACAATGTCTTCCGAACCGAATCAAGCGTACGTCACATTTGTCTAAACATATTTGGATAGAGCTGGAATTAGGGCGTAACAGCTTTTGTAAACAATGACTTCTCTCGATGATTTCTCGGAAGACATGGCTCTCCCTGGCAAATCGATATCATCATCGAATAGAGGAAGACTTCTCCTACCAGATGGATATGTTGGTTTGTGTAGGCGTGCCTTGAATTCCGAGAAATCAACGAGAAAAGTCATTCTTTACAAAGGCTGTTACGCCCTAATTCCAGCTCTATCTAGATATGTATCAGCTTTTGTAGACAATGATTCAAACGTCAATTTGTCGAAACGCTTAACACTCCCACACAAACTAACAACTCCATCTTGTTGGAAAAATATTATCCTTTCTGATGGTGGCGTTAGTTTGCATGGGACAGCTAAGAGTTTCGACAAATTGACGTTTGAATATTTGTTTACAAAAGCAGATACGCCCCTTTAAAAGTGTTATCGAGAGTTGGTAAATGGGAAGCAAAGTCTGTTTTACTGATCACACAAGCTTACGTTTTCTGATGAAGCCATCGCAAGCAGCACGCAAGTGTCCATGCGTTTTGCGTTTTAAATTTTTGACGATCATTTGGGACACTTTCATATATATTTTTTACACTTTCATAGAAATTTTTTCAAACACATTTATTGCTTCCAACGACCATCTAAATTTTAGCCATCCAAACGATAATGATCCGTAAGTAAGAACCAAAAAACAACAGTTATTATTTGACGGATTTAAAATTCAATTAGCAAAAACGGTCGTTCTAAGGCCACCGAGCCCCTCACATCACATCATATGATCCAGTAGTCAAGCCCGGCCTTCAGCTCGACGAGATCGGAAAATGTCTGTGAGTGTGGGTGTGTATGTAACGAAAAATTGTCTAAGGCGTGTTTCCGGGCAACCACTGAATTGGAATCGTTCAACTGGTTCCGGAGATATGGACGGAACAAGATCCGAAAAAACACGGATTAAAGAAACTAAGTCGTGTTTCTCAATAACCACTTAACCTGGTCACAACAACCACAGAATGAAAGGTTTTATTGTTTCAAAAAACGCTTTTGAATATTTATGGAAACGGTCAACTAGTTCCGGAGATATGGATGGAACAACATCCTAAGAACACAGATTTAGGAAACTAACTCGTGTTTTCGGCAACCACTGAATCGAATTGGACGCAACAACAATGAAAGGTTTCATAGTCTTATGATACTTTTTTGAATATTTATAGAATCGGTCAACTGGAGATATGCTCACTCAAAAACCATCAAATGAAAGGTACTAAGATCCTATAGAACACTTTTGAGTATTTTTTGGAACAGGTTAATTGATTCCGGAGATATGACCGGAACATTATGCGACAAAATCTGTCCTAATACGAATGAAATCCATCATGTGACACCTTAAATGAAATGAGAATTCAAAAGCCAGTTCAATTGCAGTAATTTGAAGTGCCCAGGACCACACTGGCCATAGAATTCCTCTATTAAATCACATCATATGAACAGTTTTGGAAGAATTATTATTAGTAAAAAGGGTCAGATTTCACCATAGGAGGATTAATTGAGTTTTATTTTTATTCTAAAGGGTGTCCACGATGAAATTGCCACACACAAAATTGATTCGCAAAATTCGAGTTTTCATCCGATTGCCATCAAATTTTCAGGGATTGAGAAATAACTATTAAACTTCATTTTACCATTTTACTCGTATTTTATTTACAGTCCATACGCAAATGCCAGCACCTTGGCCTTAACCCCGGCCATAAGATTCTGCACAACCTGTGAATCAACCGTTTTTTGCATGTAAACCCATACTTTCTTCAGTTCCTTGACTGTCTTCACTACCTTAGGTCGTTTAGGAAGGTGCTGCTTCATAATCGCCCAGTACTTCTCGATGGGGCGGAGCTCCGGAGTGTTGGGAGGGTTGAACATTTTCGGCACGAAATTGACCTTATGCGGACACCACTTCAGCACGTCCTTGGAGTAGTGGCATGAGGCCAAATCCGGCCAGAAGACTGTTGGGACGTTGTGGGCCTTCAGGAGAGGAAGCAGCCGCTTCTGGAGGCACTCTTTTATGTACACCTGTCCGTTCATCGTGTCCTGGGTCACGAAAGGTGCACTCCGCTTCCCGCACGTGCAGATGGCTTGCCAAACCAGGAATTTCTTCGCAAATTTGGACATCTTCTGAGTGCGGACATGCTCCGGAACGCTGAACTTATCCTTGGCCGTGAAAAACAGGTTGCCGGGGATCTGTTTGAAGTCGGCCTTCACATATGTTTCGTCGTCCATGATGCAGCATTCAACTTTCGTCAGCATGTTGAGGTACAACTTCCTGGCACGGGTTTTGGTGGACTTGTTCTGCTTCTCGTCGCGATTAGGGGCCTTTTGTACCTTGAACGTTCGAAGCCCAGCCTTAGTTTTGGCCTTCTGGACAAAACTTCGGCTTAGATGCAGCTTCTTACCCACATCCCTAACGGAGGCGTTCGGATTTCGGTTGAAGGCCCCAACTACGCGGTTGTGATTTTTGGTGTTGTACGGAATACTTTTTCCTTCACTTCTGGGCTTCCGATCGGTGGTCAACCGTTCCTCGAACCGCTTAATCACTCGCGACATCGTGGAATTCGCGATTCCCAACGTTTTAGCGATGGAACGATGCGAGAGATCCTTGTTCTCGTGATGACTTACAACTTGCAGGATGTAAATAATGCACTATGAACTAAATCCACCCAAATTTTCATTAAATTCTACCCAACGGTTAAAAAGTTAGAGCAATTTCATAGTGTGGCAATTTCATCGTGGACACCCTTTATTCACTTTAACACAGTTTAGGTCATTTGTGACTTGTCCGGGGATGATATATGAACTCGTGATTTTTAGCGTGAGAGGCATGGGTCCCAGGTAGCAATTTAATGCTTATCAAGTGTTGTTCAATCAATTTTAATTCAGCCTTAGTTTGAATAATTGTTGTACATATACCACGTTAACCTTTGTTCAGCGTTTAAACAACTAAATCTGGTGATTTTAATCAGCCAAAAGCTTAACAGTTATATAAATTATAAGCTTTTTAAGGCATTAAATAACAGTTTTTTCAACCCTTGTTCAGCCTTATAGTTTTATTTGAAAAATAATAATAATGGAAGACTGCTGCATATCTCATATTTTTATGGGACTGCAACAAGGTGCTGACTAATTGGATTTACATATTTATATTGTTATAATAAATCTAAAAATTACCTTTGCATTTCGGGATTGGTACCGACAGTCGCTGATTTACAGGCATCAATCATACCTACTGGACCACTTAAGCATATGTGTGGGAAAAGGTATGTTCATTAACTTGAAATATGTCAAATTTAAGCTGAATAACAGCAACCGGAAGAGTATTATACAGCAATGGAGAATTGTAACTACAACTGGTGACAGTAAAACATTCCTCAAGTGCGCGATTTATTTCGATGGTCATGTGGAAGCTATTTTAGTGCCATGATTGAGTTATATTATGGGAATTCTGTCTGAAAATTCAGTGCAATATAGCAGTCAAAACACAGAAATACAAATGTTAATACTTCCGACGTCGTCGCAGCCCACTTCTACCCGGAGCTGTTCCTAAAAAGCTCCTCTACCTTATCTCTACTGCTGCCGCTGCTTGGGATTAGAAAGGTAGGAAGTGAATTTAGAAGAACTGACAACATTTAACAAATCAGGCTATCATTTATTTGTAAAGTATTGCTGATTTGTAGAGTAGTGTTAAGCTAAAATAAGACTTGTTCAATTTTTAGATCAGCTAACTTATTGAGGTTGAATTATGGGGATACAATTAGTTTCATGCACTACTAATCAACTATATATTCAGCCTGCTGTTAATCAGCTTTGTACACCTTAAATCAACCAATAGTCAGCTTCTGTTCTTACAGTTCAGCTTGAATTGCTACTTGCGATGCTAACCATTACGGAATCCTATTGGACTTTGAGAAGACATCTTCACCGAAGTTCTTCAGTGGCGATACGGGAGAGTTTTATTTACTTATAAAGCTCAATATTCACTCATAATATTAACCCATCAAAGATCATGAAAACTACCACAAATATGAAGTTTCACCCGTAAAAACCAAATGCATTGAGACACGCCATCTTGCAAATGTGGCGCCTCACAATCGTTCAGTTTTAAGTAGGACACCCCTCGATACGTACCTCGCTAGAGCCATCCTAACATGAGATAATCCACCGAGGGGCAACGCTATGGTATCCACGGTGGCTGGTTTTGTAGAAACACGTTGCCAAGAAGAAGAAAACGAAAACAAGTCCTGCTGTTTTTGTTGTTGCTGCTGCCGCTGCTGGGGCTGTGGAGGCTACACACAGCTGCTGTCGTGGTAGCGTTCGTTGCGTACTTGTGTTTCCACTACTTCTGGGAGGACACGACAATGAGGATCCACCCGGAGAAAGAGAGAGATAGAGAGTCAACGTTTCGCTGCTAGACCAAACCACAGTGTCACGACCAAACAAATGGTCCTTGGTTTAATTTTGTGTGTTTTCAATCGTGGACGTGACTTCTACTTTTCCGGAACTCTTGGCGTCTACGTCTGCGGAATTTTGTCGGTATCTTTTGCTCACTTTGGTTTTGACCTTTACAATTTTTCAATTAAATTTCACTTCCATCTATTTTGAATAAACTCTTTTCTTTTCTTCTTTGCACTTCTCCTCTATGCCTTCACTTTCACAGAAACAATTTTCCAAGCTCCTCTCCTTTCTCTTTTCTTTATTTATTTTTCTTCGAGCTATGACTGTATGTACACAGACAGACAGATTCGAGATACACACGGGCGTACTCCTTTCTAATCTCTTCACGGCTGCTTTGCAGCAGCAGCAAAAAAAGTGTGATGGGAATCGATCCTATTTAGCACAAACTCTTCTCTCGGGCGTTCTTTTGCACTGGCCTAACATGAAAACAGTATCGAACCCACCATTCAAGGTTTCTTATCGGCCCACACGATATCTCCTTCGATCCGGTTGTTACTTGTTTTAATCTTCCGAACGTAACGACCGTTCAAAAAAACATCAAATAAGCTGATTACTGGTCATTGCTACAAACTAACACACAGGGCATAATGCATCAAAGCTGCACATACACATCGGCACGAGAGGACTTATCCGAAGGGCTTATCATTGAAGCTGACGTTTCTGGTACGATATAACAACACAACTCATGGCTGCACTTAGTATATTTTCCCTATAGTGTATCATAACAATATTTTCGTTAGCTTTCCAAGTACATCTGCCTTTATCTCGACAGCGTGCAACACATCTAGATGTTCGCCGACATGCACAGTAAACAGGGGAAACCAGTACCTGCCTGCTTCGGTATTGGCTCACCAACACTCTCGACCCACTCTTACACACAACCACAGCGGGCCTATTTGATTGCCTGAGCGATCCCAAGGTTCTTCCGTAATTAATTCTTCCTTCTCTCTGCGGCTCCCTCCTCAGCACCACTCTCAAACTACTGCCTGTTGTCGTTTGAACGGGTCGTTTTGATCACTTGACATTCAAGATCTGTCATTGGAGTGTCGCTGTTGGTTGATATTGGTCGTTGATTTTGGCACACTCGCAGCTGTCGTGAACATTTACCAACCACGCGCACGTGTATCACGAGTCAACAAATTGAGGGACGAAAACGGTGATGATGTACTTCGATGTTCTATCACGAACCAACACAACTCTGCTTACACCTCAGTCACAGATGCTCACACTTAGCACACACCAGCATACAAGGCTATATCAGAGGCGCTGTTGAAGTCAAGGTTAGAGAGCACTCTGAGCTGAGCTTTCGAGCTTCACGTCGATTCAGATCGTGAACCTTGTACTACTACTAGCCGTCCGTCCGTCCGTAGCGCGTACACAAATTCTTTTTACTTGGGTGGAAATTGGAACACCGAAACAGATATCGAGATACCGAGAATCAATCATCCAATCGTTTTCGTTTCCTTCGACTGCCCTTGACACGGGGGAATGAGACGTATCGCTTGAGTTTCGACGACACAGTTGACGAGCACAGCGAAGAACTGCAACCGAGATGCACACACTACTCCTTTGGTGTAGTTTGCTTTCCCTTCCTATTGTGCAAAATCTAGAGCAATAATCATCGGATCGAAAACACTAGGTACTGTGAGAGAGGGGGTGTGAAATCGGGTTGATTACAAGCGGTGTAGTAGCATGGAGTTCACGATACACTTCTTCACCGTACACGCAACTATTGGCGACTGACGGCTGGACTGGACCCGTAGAGGTGGCCGCTCTCTCTCTCTTTCTCTTTTGCTCTCGAGTAGTTGGCTCAACTCGAGGTCTGTGCGGTACTACACAAGGGTGCCAATGCCAACTGCCTGGCTGTTGTTGTTGGTAGGTTTTCATTGAACTTTACGTTTTGCGAGAGTGATTCCACTAACTTTAGATCTCCCCCAGTCTCCGCAGGCCCTCTCGCTCTCTCTCATAGTTTTCTCGGCTCATGGTTGCACCAGTGTTGCCAATGTTTGGTATAGACGGAAGGTCAATCGGCTATTCAATATATTTTTCATCATGGTGAAAATCAAATTGTACAATATTTTAGTAGATTTTGTTTCACTGCGTACAATCTATGTAATTAATAATAATTTGAATAATTTTCAAACTAGGTAAAGAACTCATTTGTTTCAAAGATTGGAATTGATCTAATAACAGCAGTTATCGGACATTTTCAATGAAGAACTAATTTTAATTTTTGGTAAGGCTCATCTGTATTAATAAAACTTTACGAAGCCGAAAAGAATTCAATTTGAAGCTATTCTAAAAACCAATTTGCTGTAACAGAGTTTTTAAAATAGCACTTTTTAAAAATATTCAGGGATGGGCAGCATAATGAATCAGCAAGGACTTGTAGCTTGTACATTTTTATTTTAAATGCACCGAACTACAAGTCTTGGTTGTATCCATAGTATTGTAAATTTGGGCTAAAGAGTCTCGGAATTTTATGAAATTTTGTCGACAGGTAGAGTTTAGGATTATATAAACGAAAAGAAATTTAAAAAAATGCGGGGTGGTTATTCTTCCCGGAAAATTTTCGATGAAATTTTTAAGTTTTGCCGGACATCGCGTACTTTGAAAATTCATAACTCATGAACCAAGCATCGTAGAAAAAACGTTGTGTAGTTAAATGATAAAGAAATTATATCAGAATTTCAGAAATTATGTCTTCAACCAAAAATTGTCACGGTGGAGGAAAATCAGGAAAAACCAGAGTCAGTAACGTAATCGTTCCAGTGCACCACAATTGATGAAATTTTTGATTTTGGTTTCATTACGAATATGTACTCACTTTAAACAATCTAATTTCACAAAAAATCAAAGAATCTTCGAAAAGTTCCGATATATTCAGAGAACAATCCCAAATATTCTGAGCACTTACCAGAAACGTCTAAAACTTACAAAAGTTTCCGGAATTCTTGAAACATGGGAGAAGTTCTGGGATTTCTGGGAAGTTCTAGGATCTTTTCTAGGAAGTTACAGGAGTTTTAGAAAGGCCAAGAACATTCTGGGAAGACCTTCTAACTTCTGAGAAATTCTAGCAATTTCTGAGAAGTCCTCGGATTTTTTGGAAGTTTTTTTTCCCTTGATTTGTTTTTCGTCGATCTTGTTTTCCGTACTGAGCACCAATGCTACCAACGCCAGGGAGGCAGCTCCCACACCTGGACCCTCCCTATCGACCCGTCAACTCATGGACCGGGGACTAACGGCTTTACTTCTCTGCATCAGAAAAGCACGGCGGCGACGACTGGGATTGAACCCAGGCCCTTTGGGGTGAGAATCATTCATGCTTACCACTACACAACCGGCACCGCATTTTGTGGGACATTATAGAAACTTCTTTGAAGTTCTTGGGAACTCTGGGAAAATCTAGGAAAATGTGGAAAGTTCACGGAATATTTGTGAAGTTCTTGGAATTTACATTCTGGGTAATTCCTGAAACTTTTGGAAAGTTTTCGCATCTTCCGGGAAGATTTCGAAATTTCTGGGACGTGCTTTGAATTATGGTAAAGTTTGCAAAGTCCTCAGAATTTCTGGAAAGTTCTCTGAAGTTCTGAAAAGTTCTCGTATTTTTTGGAAAGCTATCGGGATTTCTAGGAAATTCAAGGATCTTATCAACAGTTCTGAGAAGGACTTTCTAGGAAGCTCACATAAATTGTGAGTAGTTCTTGGATGTTCTTGGAAGGGCACGCAACTTGTAAGAATCTGTTCGCAATTCTGGGGAGTTCTCGGAACTTTTGGGAAGTCCTAAGAATTTCTAGTAAGTTCTTGGATCTTCTGAGAAATTCGCAAATATTCTAAGAGGCATCTTCTGGGAAGATTTTGAAATTTCTGGGACGTGCTTTGAGTGATTGTAAAGTTCTTTGAGAAGTTCTTGTGATTTTTAGAAAAATTACAGATCTTCTGCAAAGTCCTCAGAATTTCTGGAAAGTTTTCTGAAGTTCTGAAAAGATCTCGTAATTTTTGGTAAGCTATCGGGATTTCTAGGAAATGCAAGGATATTCTGAACAGTTCTAGGAAGGACCTGCTAGGATGCTCACATAAATTGTGAGTTGTTCTCGGATGTTCTTCGAAGGGCACCCATCTTGTTAGAATCTGTTTGCAATTCTGGGCAGTCCTCGGAACTTTCGGGAAGTCCTCAGAATTTCTAGTAAGTTCTTGAATCTTCTGGGAAATTCGCAAATATTCTAAGAGGTTCTGGCAAGCGTTCGAAAATTCAGCAAAGCTCTCGGGACTGATGGGAAGTTTTCGAAATTTATGGGAAGTTCTCACATCTTCTGGGAAAGTTCTCGGAAACTCTGGAAAAATCTCGGAATTTCTGCGAAGTTCTTGAATCTTCTGGAAAGTTTATGGAACTTCTGGAAAACTCTCGGAATTTTCGGGAAGATTTCGGAAATTTTGGGAAATTTTCAGATCTTCTGGGAAATTTTCGGAATTACTAGGATCATCTTGGAAGTTCTGGGACGTTTCGAGATCTAGAAGATAAAGATCTAGTAGTATTCGGAATAAGTAAGAAGTATACAGAACTTCTGGGAAGCTGTTGGATCTTCTGTGAAGTTATCGACATTTATGTTAAGTCCCTGGAGCTTCTGTGCAGTTTCGAGAACTTCTCGAAAGATTTCGAATATCTATGGAATTTTCGAAAAGCTCTCGGATTTTCTGGGAAGTCCTAAAATTTTGAGAGAAGTTCTCGGAAATTTCGGGAAGTCTCGGTAATTCTAGGAAGCTTTCGGAAATTCTGGGAATTTCTAGAAATTTTCGGGATTTCTTGCAATTTGTGAGAAGTTCTCAGATTTTCAAAAAAGTTCTCGGATTTTTAGATAAATTCTCGGAATTTCCAGAATGTTCTGCAAATTCCGAGTACTCTGGGATAGTTCGAGAATTTTTTAATTATTTCAAGATTTTCAGGAAAGCTCGGAGAATTTCTTGGCTATTCTTAGGTTTTCAGTTTCGAGAATCCCTTTTCATGCCCAGGACTTTAGATAAGTGTCGACAAAAATAA